AAACTGGACCTGGCCTGTCTCATGCATGTAGCACCACTGGTGACCAGAAAGGGCATAAAAAAGGAAAAATGTCAAGACGCTTCTACACCAGCACACAGATACAGCACAGTACAGGGGTAACCCACCATTACACCAGGAAATCCGTAGTGCTCCCAAAGGATGAAGGGCGGTGGCGATGGGCTGTGCAGCAGCCGCAACAGCATGTAGTAAAAGAAGTAGCTCTTTCCAATCCCAGGCGTCCCGGTAACTGCAACAAAACACACAAGGGCAAGGGGGTGGCCTTGGTCATCAAGTGAGTGGAGTGAATGATCAACAGCAGCAGGACACAGGCATAGCTTTGCAGAAGGGCTCTGGTGCTTATAAAAAAAACTGTCCATGCATTGCTTGTTCTCGAGGGCAATATTCAACTAGAATCCATATTGTTAGAGACCATCCTGGCAAAATGACAGGTTGGGATAAGTAGAGTCCCTCATACCCAACCCGGTGTGCCAGTAAGGGTGGGTGCTTCATTCAACAGACAGGAGAGGGGCCAGCAGTGTAGCAGGCCAGTGCCAGCCATTAGTCATTTACATGTCTAAAGAACACAAGCTGTCTCCCACCCACTGACTCATGTACATCTCAACCCACATCAAGAACACACAATGGTGCATACAATGATGATGATGCAGTCACCATGTGCATTGGGTCCTAACTGTACACACTGGTAGCCTGGCAGGTAAAAGCAGAGAAAGAGGTGGGCCTCACCGACATGCTTCTTGCTTGTCGACTCGTAGAGGGCATAGAAGAGGTCCGGATAGCACTTCCGAACATACAGCTGGTAGTTTGGGTTGTGAAGTAGGAAAGACACGTCGCCACTGCCCACAGTGAGCAGATTGCCAGCATCCGGCACTGCCACAGTACGCAGTGCAGCAAAGAAGCGTGTGGCACCCTGGTCCAAAGACACTGTGGAAGGAGCTGTGGACACGGGCATTCAATATGCTCAAGAGTCAGAAGGGCATCCAGCCACCAAAGGCAGCAGACAGCTTAGACTAAAAAAAACAAGGATGCAATGCACAGGTCACTAGTACTAGTGACTCAACAGTGGGGTTGTGTTCTTTTGTGCCCAGTAAAGTAACAAACAGTGAGGGGCCGTTCTGATGACCACTACTGCTAAAGCCCCCCACACTTGTACATAACTTGTAACATGTCGTTGTACATAACACGGTGGGAGATGTGCTTTGTTGCAGCGGTGCTGATGGTGTGGGAGCTAAGCTTGCACTGGCGGAATTGTCAGCACCGCCTGCAGGCTCCATGCTGCATGGACAGTGCTGCAGACCGCAAGTCAGAATGCCCATGCGGGCAAATGGTAACGAAAGCTGGGTGAATTTCGGTGCTGTCTATGATGTTTATCCCCGAAGCGCCAGCAGCCTCAGCAATCCGCCCCACAGCCGCCAGCTTCATGGGGGCACACCGCAAGTCTCCAGAGGCCCCGAGCATTGGCTAAAGTAAATGTACAAATGAGCAGCTTGCATATATCATAGAGAATTGTAAGCAAATTTGTCAGCCTGCTGGTGGCAAGTCAGAATGCCCATGCGGGCAAATGGTAACACAAGCTGGGTGTTCAAGTTATCATATGCTGTCATCTCAGAATTCAATTATGTAATACACAGTACCTTTTGAAATGAAACTTAGCCCGAGAGGCGTTGATGTGACTTTGAGCTCGGTCAATTGAGGCAGTCAAAGTTGCCTCTGCTCATCGATAGGAGAAGCCCAAAATCATATTCTAGGCTGTACAAATCCTGGAAGCCCTAAGGCACTGATTGGTTCAGTAACCCATGGGTTACCAATGGGTTACCCACCTTCAACCCCCGGTAGACCTTTGGTAACCTCCTTGTAAGTTCTTATCCAGCAGGAGGGGTAACACGGCCCCAGGGTAAACCCCTCTGTTGCCCAGGACTATGGACATATGTATGGGCCTATAGGCGACTCGCCTTACATGCTTCCCACATCGTAAATTCCACTTAAGGATACTTTTAAAAATGTAAACATTAGCAACCTACAGTATCTTGGTATCTCGGGAAGCATCGTTTGCCATTTCAACCTTAAGGTCTCTAATGATGGCATCACACACGCAAGGAATAAGCAATAAGTACCTATCTCTTGGCCTGTTACGAGAGCTTGTAGATGAGTACAGGAGAAGGCGTGAATGCTGGCAGCACAGGTCTTCACTAAATGGGTGCCTTTGGTTGTCATCCATTGTTATATAATAGTTCTCATTGTGAAAACATCAGGCGATCAGTCCTGAGGTCGGCCGACATATTACCGGCCAGGGGTGGTCGTACACATATGTGCATGCTGCTTTGCCTCCATTGATACTCCTGACAAGCACATTCAAGCTTAATCACAGCTAATTAGCTTGTAAGCTCATATAATGCACACTCTTGGCTGGTCTTATAATTAGATCGACATGCTAAAATAAGCGATGACCACTATCAACAATTCAGTCAATCATATTCCTATTGACCAAACATACAATGGACACATACAATCCACGTTGCAATACTGGTGTGTATGGTGGCAAAAATGGTGGCGTCCTAGTATTTGCGTGCATGGACCACTACAACAAGACTGTTGACTGTCCTTCTGCAGCACAGGCCCACACTTATGATGGACCTCATTTAGCAAGACATCCAGTGACATCCGAGGATTTTAACCGCCTTACACTTTGCTGGGTGTGGCCATATTCGGGATCAAACATCCGGATCTCCCACCCAAGACCCTAGACACTCTTAGGAGAGGCTCTCCTAAGAGCCTGCTCTGAAAACGAGCGGACTCTGGATGTTGCATAGGTCGTGCGTAGAGCTGGAATTAGCAGGTCGGGATGGGGCACTTAAGCTACTGGCCGACCTTACATTGCTGCCTGTTGGCTGATCAATGAGTCTTAGGTCATGAGCTGGTCCATGAGTCTTAGGTCCGGAGTGGCGGTAGGTGCATGGATCTTTTGATAGGAATATTTTGGATCCTTTGATAGGGATATTTATTGGCTTCACTGGTGGCTTCTCGTGGTTCCCAATTTGCTCTGCCTATGTACACCTGTTCGTCTGCCTCCTTGCATCTAAGCTGCAGCTGTGTGCCTTATCCTTAGGTTTAGGTTTCTGAACAAGGCATGTTTTGGTGCGGCAATGTTGATAATTGGGCATTCACAAGTGACTGGTGAAGACATGTATGTTTGCGTGTGTAGACAGGCGAGACGGGTGCAGGTGAATGTAAACATGGGTCTGTTACCCATCAGTAGTGTATTACCCTGACCCCTTTGTTAACCCTCGGTAAGGGATTATCCCTACCCCGGGGTTAGGTTAGCCACCTCCCTTCATACATAGCCACAAGGGGTAACCCCTACCCCTACACCCTGGGTTATGCTTAAAGGGGGGTTACCCCCCGTTTTATGCCATAGGGAAGGATTGGAGCAAACTTAATTAGCCTACTTAAAATAAATTTCCAAGCAGCTAATATACTTTTGAGATGTTAACAAAACATTATAACTAAATGTTAATGTAATGACTTCTTCCTAAATATAATCTTAAAACAAAAACAAAGAACTAAAATAGACAAACAAAAAGACGAAGAACAGCATAATGGACAGCTCGTCATGACGCGGGAAGAAAGGAGCAAAATGATAAAAAAAGGGAACTTTCTATGGGAAGAGCAAACAAAATAATAACTTTGCTAGCTAGCTCGGCTGCTGAGAGGGCCGGCAACTAGGTTGCAGGCTCATGAGAACCTGTCACATGTACATCCATAGCCGCATCGGGTAACACTATTGTTGAAGACTTGTCAACAGACTGCTGAACCCCCAGTTTAGATGATCTGTCTGTGACTTGTGTCGTAGACAGTGCTGGGGTGCGATGTGATGTGCACCCAGCCGTCTGAACAAGCTGTCCATATCCACACTGCTGACTTCCACCCACCCACACTTCCACATACACACGCACGCCGGTGCTCCTATGCTGCAGACTGCGCACTACCAAGCCACTACCGCCACCGTACGGCCAGTCACCCTACAAAGCCGCAATAAACATGGCCAGTTGCTTCACCAGACACACCCAATGATTGTTTTCAGGGGAGTGTAGTGAATTAGACGTTAATCTGTCAGATCTCTCTACTGTTGTCCTTAAGGGACATCTGTCGTACTTATGGAATCGTGATTTCGTTCCTTCATATGGCGGCGGGAAGCCGCATTCCTTAGTTGCTTGTAACAGGAAGTGCAGACCATGCTGCTCCGACCTTATGTCACAAGCACGCTGCAGGCATGGGCAACTTACTGAAGCAAAGCAAAATCAGGTCAAACTCACCAGAAACTACGCCAGAGCCATCCGTAGCCGCAGCTGCACATAAAGGAGAAACGATACAGGTGCAGCACATGGAGGAGCATGATGTGCCAGGTAGCAAATACCAAGCGTGCTGGTTCATATGCCCCTTGTGTTTTACTTTATAAGCAGAATGTGATTTGTTACAGCGGACCCCGAACTGGTGGACTGCATCAGCACAATACTTAATCACTTCGTTGCTTGTAACAGGAAGTACAGACCGTTGCTTGTAACAGGAAGTACAGACCACGCTCCGAGCTTAAGAAGCTGTTTAGCGGAAGGCACAGAGCAGCTCGCAAGTTTATATCAGAAACCTTTATTGAAGAAATGAGAGACTTTGCTAGCTTGGCTTGCTGAGAGGGCCAGCGGCTAGATCGCTAAGAGCAGCCTTTGAAAGCATGGATGTCGCAAGCACGCTGCAGGCATGGGCAACTTACTGAAGCAATGCAAAAATCAGGTCACACTCACCAGCAACAACGCCAGAGCCACCCATAGCCGCAGCTGCACATTAAGGAAAAACGAGAGGGATGCACAATTGACATCATTACTTGATCAACGGAACGTGTTCATAGGTTCACAGCAGAACGTTCTAGGACCATACAATGCCACCATGCTCCTTAAGTTCACCGATGTCAAATTGAGCTGCTGATTGCTGCCTTCAGGGCGGTAAGCTGCTGGAGACGAAGGTGCGCTCACAGGTCATTCATGTTGAGAATCAAAACACCCATGCTAGCTTCATACAATAAATTTCCGACCCATTCCAGCTGCACTGAGGGGAACTCAGCCTCTGCGCGCTAACGAGAAACATCTCAGCCACAAGGCTTTAACGCACGATGCCTACACAGCGCACTGCATTTCCTTCCACGCACGGTACATCAGCAAGAATCTTGTACAGATCGAAACATGTCCTTCATAGATGAAAAATCGGATACTGTACCCTTTTACTAGATTTGAACTACAGGCATTCTATTACAAGAGGACGCGTATCAGAACCCTGGGATGACATGTTTCGGTAACACAACACGCAGGCAGTTGCCGTTAAATTATGGTGGCGAACAGCGGACCCATTAACGGGTAGGAGCATCTGCGGTTCAGGGCGCCCCGAGGTCCCACCTGCCAACTTCTCCTCTAGATTCTTCTGGCGGGCATTTAGGTCTGCGAGATTCTCCACCAACCGGGCGTGTTTGCCACGGAGGACATGGTCCTTGGGTTTCTTGCAAAGCTCCTTCTCCAGGTCGTCCAGCTTCGCTTCCTTAGCAGCAGCCTCAACATGTAGCCGCTGCAGCTGCTCATTAATCCATTCCATGGCTTCAGCGGAGGGACCACAGTTTGGCGTTGCGAGAGCGTTGCAATTGAAAAATGCTGAACAGTGGATTTTTAGGAGGTAAGCTTTGTTGAAGTATTAAGGAGTGCAGACGCGACCATACCACAATAAGAGTAAAGACTATAGAAAGCACTTGGCGACCGTGATGGCGCACCTGTGCACCGAAACCAACAGAATCAACAAAGCCCATCTCCACATATCCGCTTAATTTCAAACATATCGGACAATGACAGTGAATCCCTTCGTTCTATTGACACTGACGACTTCTAGCTTGACTGGCGCCAACAAAACAGACCAGTGTCAGCGACGTGAGAGCGATGCCGAAGCGGTTCATCTGATGCGGAACCATCGGCACTCTGGAGCTCTACAGAGATCACTTTAGGAGAGGGAGGGTGCGGGGTGGGAGGAGGAGGGGAGCAGGGAGGGAACGGGGCGGGAGGAGGGGTGGGAAGGATGACTTTTGCGTGTCGGGTTTTCATGTGTTGGGCGGGTTACTCTGGGACTTTGTGCGGTTTGGTACTCACACAGGGACAATGCGCAGTCGGGGCTGGGATTACTTCAGGAGAGGTGGGTTATCGATGGCGAGTTGCGGTTTGGAGAAAGCCAAAGCCGTGGGCAGCGGGAAGCTGTTTTTCCACAGAGATGTATGTGGATTAATTCTTCGGTGATCGGTGGAGCATTGTAGTATTGGCTTTTAGATGCAATCATGCGGCACGACCCAGACTGACTCACTCTCGCCATGCCTCTGCTGGTCAGCGAGTGTGGATCGTCAAGCCCACATGCTTGAACTGCGGGAAGAGCATCGAGGTATTTGACTCCCTGGACCGTGTCCTGGAGCACATCAAGGGCCGACCCGCGGGTCAGTGGTCCATGGGCTTGCGGTTTTAGGGTTTTAGATACTTGGGTTGCGGTTTTAGGGTTTGCGGGAGCTCCACTGCTTATTTGGCAATGGCCTTATTGGGCGAGGGGCCGTTCCGGGAGGGCCAGGCGGGCTAGTATGATGTGGCCCGTTCTGAAACCCTCTCCCGCCCGTCAGGACTAACTCTTTCCTGAACTGCTGCTGCTCGGAATAAGCAGGAAGGAAAACACGACGTGTGCGCCCCTCTCCCTGGGGGGAAGGGTCGGTGCTTCCGCTGGGTTATTTCATCCACAGTAGCTCGCACCGACACTCCTTTCCAACCCGCACCTACCCACCTGCCACCCGCCGGGATCCGGAACCACGCAAGCAGTCAAACACCTCACTCTCTCTCTCTCTCTCTCTCTCTCTACACACGCACACACACACACACACACACACACACACACACACATGCACACACACACACACACCACACCACGCACCCTGCCGCTTTTTCCATCTGTGACCCAATTTCCTGTTCCCGTCCGCGCCATGTCCGCTTCCTTCCTCCATATCTGCGCTTCCTTCACTTTTTCTCCCCATGCAGGCAGCAGCCTCATTCTGCAGAAGTACATCGAACGGTACGTATGGCACTACGGCTGTGTTGCTTATCCAGCCTGTTTCCAGCTTGTTGAGATGTGTCGCACAGGGACCGGGGGGCCTTTGGCTCTTCCGTTTGGTTCTTCCTTGGCTGGGTTGTGTTGGTGCTCCGCCGCCGCCCGCTGCGGCTCTCGGCCTCTGTGCTTGTGTGAAGCAAGGCCACCTTGTACTCCGCCGCGGGACAACCCACCCGCCCACCCGCAGGGTACGCATTCACAAATGGACACCGGGGGAACTCCCACACCCACAACCAAGCCGAACACATTCGAACCTCACGGCCATACCATACACACGGCGCGTGCCTGCTCCCTTCTTCCCTCCCCATCCCCTCCCCCCCCCACCACACACACGCGGATGGCCCCCTCCATACACCTCACACAGCCCCATGCGGTTAGGGGGCCGCAAATTTGACATTCGAGCCTACATCCTAGTTGGGCCCGATGGCAGCATGTGGTTTCACCAGGAGGTGTACATCCGTACATCATGGTAGCCATACGCTCCTGTAAGCCCAGCCATGTTGTTGTTACATGGTCGTGGGTGTGTTCCCCGTACCTGCAAACCACCCTAATACGAGCCGAGGGCTCAAGGGCTGCCAGATCGCCTATAAGCATCATCCTACCTCGCACTTCCAACGAAGCAAGTGATGAAGGATACTAACGACCAAAGGGAACGATAGAGTTGCGGTGGGACCATATGTGTTCCAGCATCCTTGCCAGGTGTTCAGGTTCCCACTTCATAGCGTCCTTCATATGCTCGAAGCGTGGGAAACCCATATCAGATCTGATTTTGTTGTACACCGGACAGTCCAGCAAAATGTGCTTCTCATCCTTGATATGGCTATCAGTGCCGCAGCAAGGGCATACTCGCTCCTCCCTAGGTATATAACGCTGTCCCTTACACGCTCTGTTAGCCGCCAATGCCCAACAGGAAAGCCTAAACTGCATAAGCTTGCGATTCGCTGAGCGCGGGATAAACATTGTGATATGCGGGAGCACCTCCTTCCTGCCCGCTTGTCCGGCCGCCAGACCCACCCAATGCTTATACTTCGCCATGTGAATTCCTGGTTGCTTGCCGTCCGACGGGTACACGTCAGGCTGGACATCTAAACGCGTATGCTTCCAATCACTCACTAATCGGTCCTTGAACTCCAAAACCACACCTTCTGGCATTGGCCTGTTCATCAGCCACTCCACTCGTTCGTCTACCTCGTGTAGCCCTTGCGGAGTCTCTTTCCATACGTCGTGCCCCAGAAAACATAGAAAACGGAGTAGTAGTGTCCCCCATCCGGCCCCTTCGGGGTTGGAGAGGGACTCTGTGACCTCCTGTCGCAAAACTTGGTGTGCCACAGACCCACGCTGTAAACGGACACTGTTCCAAAACCTCACAACCTGCTTGAAAACGTGGTATTGGAGGGGTAGCTGCGACAGCTGTGCAAGCAGGAGGCGGTGTGTTGGTCTGGCAGCTCCTACAATTTGTCGCATAAAAGATATCTGAAGCTGCACTCCTCTGTCCTTTAGGCATGCCTCGAAGGGCCCCTCTGCAAGGTTGCTCGCATCACTCCGCCTCCTGAGCCTGTCCAAGACCTCAGCTAGCGGGCACCTGGGTTTTGGGCACCTGCTAGACCGTACGACACTGCTGGATCAGCGCAAGCGGAATGTTCTTGCGCTACGCTGCCCGTAATGGTATAGGTGATAAGGAAAGGGCCAGGAAAGGGGGGCCTCCTTGGCTTTGATCTACATCAAATGTAAAGGCGTTCGCAAATGGGATTTAGGAATACTGCCACGCGCCGTGCGCCATGCTATGCCGGTGGACTCCAGGGCTGTTACCGCTTCTGGCACCTTCGACAGTGCCATTCCCGGGGGGGGGTTAACCGGAAACGTTATGATTGTACGGCCGTGGAACCAAGCAAAGCCAGTGGTCGACAATAACGGTACGGGTACGGGCTTGATGTTGAGTGTTCGACACGGCACTGATGGCACTGATGGTTTTCCTTCCTCTGCGGTCTGGCGCCTTGCATGTCCAGCCGGGATGCTGTACACGTGGGGCTGCGAGTTTTCATGGATGGAGGGTGGCAAGCGTGACAAGCACTACGGCTGTCTGGGTTTGGGTGATGACACGGAAGGCCGGCTGGTGCCCACACGCGTGCAAGGCGACATGGACAAGCACGGCGTCTTACAGGTATGTGGGTTAGCGAGGATCTACGGACTATTGGCCAGAGAAAGAACTACCGTCTAATGTCCTGAGGGCTCCTTTATCTCCTCTGCCGCAGCTTGCTGTCTAGCCGTGCTGCGCGGTTTCCTACTTGCTCTCAACACCTCTCTCCTCGGCGCCATACTGTTCGGTAGTGTGGGCCTACTGCTTTACTTTCATCGATGATGCTTCTTCTTACTTGCTGTGTTGCTCTGATAGTGCTGGTGCTTGAGCATTTGACTGCTTTGTTGTGCCTGAACTCGCTGGTCGCGGCGGCGCGGCTGATGGATTGACCTGCTGCAGGTGGCCTGCGGCTGGAGCATGACCGTTGCACTGTCCGCGGATGGACGAGTCTACCAGATGGGCAAGACGGGGGCGCTCACAACAGACAAAAACTGTACTTGGGAAGGCGCTAAGACCCCGACCAGGGTGAGTGGCAGCGATGCAAACGCTGTAGCGGCCCATCGGGCTACGAGGGTTGGGTGTCTTGAATCTCGCATGGGCGTACGCGTGTGTTGCGTATCCCTGTGCATAGGTGCTGTACGGAAGTCCTTTAGTGCATTTGCTGTGTGTCGTATAGGTGGTCATGGATATGAGTATGGTAGTCCTAGGGAGGGAGAATTTCCTGCGGTGATCCGGGGTTTGCCGGTGTTGGAAAAGCACTGTAGTTAAGCGGACGTACTTCAATCCTTGCCACGCCAGTTAACCAGTTGCCACGGGGGTTGCCTCGGGCCGTAGTAGCCTTGAGCAGCTACAGTACTTCTGTTACATCCTGCAGCACATGCGTTGTGATCATCGCGCTCTCGGAAAAGGCCGCGTTTGTTTTAAATCCTTTTAAATTAAGCCTCCACCCATTACATAAGTCTCACCCATTTCTAAAGTTTACCACAGGCAGCTATTATAAGACCTGGTTTGCAACGCTTGGTGACCGAGCATGCATGGAACACAGGGTCAGGGGCCTCACTCGCACGTTATTTTGCCTTGCCGGGCAGATTTGTCGATGACGCTTTCTCCTTCTTTCATCTACTCTGTTGCTCTCTTGCCCAGGTCGACGGCAACCTGTTTGGCATGTTTGTGGAGGAGGTAGCCTGCGGCATGCGCCACGTGGTGGTTGTTGCTAGCAAAGTGCAGGTACGTAGCTTGAGCGATAGAGATAAGAGGAGGAAGACGGCATTATGGAACCGCAATCATCCCTGGGAAGGATAAGGGCGGATCCCCCAAGGGGCCCTGTGAGGGTTGGGATGGGACGACGCCGCACGAGGGTTGGGGCGGCGTTCTGCGGGTCTGGGGCAACGGGCGACACATGTACTGCTACTACTTTGCGGTGCGGCCGGTGCCTTCCCGGCGCCTAATAATGCTACTACTTTCCGACAGCAATATTAAGGCAGGAAAGGAGGATTGCATCCTGCCGTAATGCAGGATGCAATGACAACAATGTGCGTGCACCTGTGCTCCTTCCACGCCCTGTGTGCAACCTTTGCTTCGTCTGTGTCTGTGCAGGCGAATGGCCAGATTCCTGACGACCAGCGACGGGTGCGGTTGCTGGCGTGGGGCTGCGGTGCTGAGGGACAACTCGGGTTGTGGGGCATGACCACATCTTCGGATGCGCCGGTGGCGGTTCGGACATCCCAGAATGACCACTCGCTTCCGCAGGTACGTCGGTCAGTCCGTCTGTCCGTCCGTCCGTCAGTCAGTATCAAGACACGCGACATTGCCTGATGACCCTCTGGCACGTCGTCCTCTGCCGGTTTAAAGCAGATAAGCAGTTAGCAAAAGAAGGCCGATGATGGGGACCTGGAGCTGCTGTTATGTTACCCCCGTTGTTATGTTACCATCCGAAGAGCAC